CAGGTTGTTCTCCTTGAGGCCTCGACATCTGTTCGCGACTCTTCGAAGGAGGTGAAAAGCGATGCGCGTCTCTGCAGTAATCTTGCGCGACGCAGTGCCATTGTCGCCATGTGATTTGATAAACATACCAAGGACTCTGATGGTGTCGACCCTGGGTATTGGGTCACCACTCCGAGTGAAGAGGTGAATGCCATTTTCAGAGACCGGCTTCCAACCCTTGAGTCCGCCACACGATACTGCTCAAAGTCGCAACACTTTATTGTCTGTGGCAACACCAAACGGAGTACAGCCTGTTGCAAAGGTGCAGCGGGAAAGCAAATAGGCTTATCCACGCCACGGGCATAAAAGTACTACACAGGGTGCCACGAGCACGTCTCCGCGGTAAAGGTGATCCACGGAGACGCCAGGCCTTGGTCAAGGCCCGGTTGCTCGAGCAAGGGCAAAGGCGCTCGCGTTGGCTTCGGAGGAAAGACGGGTTGGCGTAGCTAGGCCACGCACTAGGACACCGTACCACTCTTCGGCCTAGCGTTCGGGGGGGGGGGGGCGAATAAGGTAAGCGTTTGCTGCGGGCGCTGTCGGTAAAGTCCGAACGAGCCCTACAGGGAGCTGACGGACAGAAAAGAAAAGCGTGCTTACCCCCATGTCGTCCCTGGAGAGGCCTCTCTCTCCTCCCGACGCGCGCGCGCAAAGCCTCTCGGGAGACTCCGCGCGCGGTGCCATAGTCAACATCCGCTACCGGGTGAAGGGATTAAACGTCACTTCGCTCTACCACCGCTGCAGACAGCGGAGGAGGGGAGACATGTCGGGACATGAGAACGGAGAAAGAGGCGGCAAAGCCCGCGCAAAGGCAGTGGGCAGGCCTCAATTCCCACATGGTCTACCAGATTGTGATGTCGTCAGCGTAGATGTCGCTGATACCTTCGACTTGGGCCAGTTTCGTCGAAAGGCCAACCATGCAGATATTGAATAGAGTGGGCGAAATGATCGAGCCTTACGGTGTACGCCATGGGCCCTGTAGCGCCTCGTCAGAGACATAGTCACCCATCTGTAGTTTCGCTTTCCTCCCGGTCAAGAACGAACGGACGCAGTTATACAGTTTGGGGCCCAGCCCGAGGTCCACGAAAGAAGCCAGGATGTATGAGTGGAGAGCATTGTCAAACGCCTTCTTGAGGTCGAGTGCGAGCAAGGCCCTGGTGTCTCTAGTATGGACGTCAATCATTTGATGGTTGATCATCTTCATGGCGTCCTGCGTTGACAAGCCGTTTCGGAAGCCAATCATGTTGTGAGTATAGACGTTGTCTTCCAAATATTGGTTTAATTGGTTGAGGACAACGTGCTCCGCCACTTTCCCTATGCAGGACGTAAGAGAGATGGGTGGGAGGTTATCAATATTTGGAGTCCTGCCTGGTCTGGGGATCAGGACAGTCGTGGCCGTCTTCCATTTTTCTGGGGGGCTGCCGTTTCTCCACGTCTCGTTGATCTTGTGAGGTACTCGATTGAACCATCGTAGAGATTCCGCAGCATTTTTATTGGTGATGCCTTCGGGACCTGGCGCGGATTTCCCACTGAGTTCAAAAATGGCTTGCCCAACTTCCTCCACGGTGAAATCTTCGTCATTCCGGACAGGCATTCGATTGACCAGTGCATCTAGGCCTCTCCTCGGGTCACCTAAGGCAACTTGCACCAGTGCTGAACCTTGCTGTAACTACTGTGCACTTGTAGTGAGCGTGGACAACATCCTCTTAATCTCATTAATTTGAGCACCTGATTCTTCCTTATTGAAAAGTGCCCTGCGCTTAAGGGCCACTGCTAAAAGCGCTAGCCGGAATCTGTACTTCGGTAGGGGACGGTGGCGAAGCTGTATCTTAAACCGTATGACTGATAACCAATTTCTTAATCTTGGTCATTTCCCTAGCCATCTTGATCATTTCTTTTACTTTCACATTTTCCTTCTGAAGGCACGCTACCTCGGCATCCCTAGCTTGCTCTGGGGGTGGGTCGCGTGGGCCCCTAGAGGGTCCCGTTTCGCTGCCACCACGAAGTTTGTGTAAGGGTCGGCCATGTAAGGGTCGGCTTCCTCTTCTGCTGGCCATTACTAGAACCGGACCCGGTCCTGGAGGCAGAACGGCTCCTGGAACGACGCCCAGAACGACTACTAAATCCAGATCTGCCCCTGGACCTGGATCTGCTTTTGTACCTCGAACGACATCCGGAAGGCAGGGAGGTAACTAATGAAGAGGCGCTCCTGGAGCATCCGCAGGCTCCGTGGTGACCAGCTTGGGCCAAGAAGTGACGGTCTTCCTTAGCGAAGGCAGGAGACGCTTCTATTTCCACGGGATTCCCCTGCGCGTCTGCGTCTCACAAGGTACGGCATCTGGTACCTCTCCTTGCACTCCTTGGCGCCAGTAAGGTGCTGGCCACAACAGAGTCCGCACTTGGGGTCGCACACGTGGTTCTTATCTGGATTGGCAACGCCGCATCCCCTACACATGGTGTCGTCTGGACTGGGGCACACGTCTGCACGATGTCCAAGACGGCCACAGGCATAGCACACCTCTATTTGTTTTCTATACAAGGTACACCAGGCGAGCGTACCCTCGTACGAGACGTAGTTTGGTACCTTGTAGCTGTCGAAGACCACAACCACGATGCCTGTGTTCTTGAGTCGTTTGGACCCCAGGGCCAGCGGGTTCTTTGAGTTTACTATCTTGAGGTCGAGCTCTGCCAGACCTTCACTCGGTGCAATGCCACAGATGACGCCCTTGCACGTAGAATCTGGAGCCGCTTCGTACGCGGTGACTTTGTGCTGCTGACCTCCAACATCAATGCATTCTACCTTGGCATAACGAATCGCGTTCTCCCTGCAGGGCGTACTGACGACCATGATGTTTTGTTGAAAATTCGGGCACATAGTGTCAGCGTCCCACGACACAAAGTCGATGCCGACCGCTGTCCATATGGCCTCGGCCACAACTGTCGGGCCTACCTTGCTGATGTCAAAACCTCCAATCAGCCTGACAATAATCTTCGCTTCATCGTTAGGCAGTAGAGGCATTCCTCTGCCGCTAATAATGCGAATTTTAGCCCTCCCGCTGTCTCGGCAACCCTGGGCGGCCACACTGTCGTTCGGGTGAGCACCGGTGGAAACAGCTCCAACTTGCTTGACGACGCCGACTTGTCTTGGGAGCGCCTAGCAGCAACTGTTTGCCATCCGGAATCCTCAGCGAGCTCTTTGGGAGTCAGAAGCCTTCTATCCACTTCCATCACTGCACAGCCTCAATGTCCGCACAAGAGAGAAAAGAGGCGGACGGAGCAGCAGCAGCACCGCGTCAGCTGAAACGCAGTTAGCGTTTGATTCGAAGCGGCGGGGGCTGAACGAAAAAGTGAGATAATATCGAAAAAAGTCCACCAACCTCCAAAAACTAGGTATAGGCGTGATCGCTACGACTTTACGAGTTTGTTCGTAATAAAAGCATCGAACTGGGCACAATTAAAACGACCGAAATCATTTAGGTATGAAGGAGCCCGTCCTAACACATTCGCAGTTTTTTAATATTCCTTTCTTTGTAGTTTGCCAGTAGCCATCTATGGTGTTGCGCAGCTCAAAGGGCTGCTTCAGCAAGAAGCTAAACGGGTATGCGCAGACCCAAGTTCCGAATGTACATGTTTTTTTTTCAGGCTGGCTCCTGAAACAGTGAATGTCTCAACCCGATTTCTGCATGTCTGCATATTTACCCGTGCACCATGGCGCGCAGCAGGCGTATATACATTGATAAAGGCTCAGAAACGCATTAAACACGCTAAAAAACGAGCAATTACATGTTTTGGCAGGCTACGGCACCCGCTCTCCTGTGCAAACGCTCCTGAGATCTTCAGTACCACGGTACTACAGTGCCGCTGCTACTGTCACATGCCAGAGAATCAACCAAGCTACGGCGCAGCCGCTTCGTCCATTCCACTTCCCGATTACAGTACACTGTAAGGAAAAGGTGGGTGCACCATGCCACGGCGCACGCACCCTTTACACAATTGTCGCGAAACGTTTTTGGATCTCGAAGGCTGGCTATACCAGTTGTATAAGGCCTTACAAAGGCCCAACCGAAACAACAGAGGGCAGCACAAGAAAAAAAAAAAGATAACAAGCGTTTATCTTACTACAGTGTCTAGAATATACTTCTAGGCACTATAATCTTACTGTAACCTGTAGAAGTTCACTAGTGTGCATACTGTTAAAACCTTCGGCAATAATGAATGACCATAGCATTTGCTTGACTGTGCTGTCTCGACAGGGCCGCAACGATGGTGGTGGCTTTGCAATGAACACAGTTTGCTATCTGCCACAAAAGTGATAATTGCTGTGACTGCTTATCGCTGTCATGAATCGGTGCGAGAGAAGCGTATTGTTTATAGGCGGAACTGTTAGAGAGCATCACGCGCGACAGTAGGTCTGTCAGGTGGTATTTTTTTGTATTTTTCGGGCATTTGTAGTTAGCAAAAAAACACTAATTAACAGATACTACAATGTTTGACACTGTTCAATCGTATGTTTTGGAAACCAATCTACAACTTTTTCATTGAAATTTTCTATCCATCCTCGTTCCTCCAAAAGTTATTAAATTAGACAGATCTAAGTGAGCAATAATTTAGAACACAAAAAATAGTATGACTGACTCCAGGCAACGGTCAGCAACATGCAATTGGTCGCGGCGTAATTGCATGTGTCGGCATATTTTATACTCTAGCTAAAAATAGCAGGGGCACCTTGTATATGATGATTTTAAAGTAAAGAGGAAATGCTCATCCAAGCTGGCAGCAACTCACAACATCGTCAATACGACTTGTTTCCATTGTTCATGTGCGATTTAGGGCCTTTGGTGTGAATCTCACAGATAACAATGGGGCCTCTTGCGTACGAATAAGGGACAAGCTCCCATTGCGCGTAAAGCCCACTTTGCTGTGCTGCCATGCCCACATAAGTGCAATAAAAATGATGAAAGTGATGTGCAAAATGAAAAACACTTTATTTCCGCTCGCAAAAGTGATACGAGTGCAGGCATTTTAACAAGGCTTTGTGGCTGCTAAAACTATTACACAATGCACTAAAATATTTTTTTTTGCCCCCGAGCAATGTCATTGTGGCTGAGCAATGCCATTGTGCCATCCCTTCAAAAGGCTATACTTCTAAAACTGCAGCAGACCAACAATGAGTGAATGGCTTATATACAATGCACTGGATAAAATAATGTGAACACCAGAGTACGGATACTAGGCTTGTGCACACTTAGACTTGGAAGCTTTTCAAGTCAAGATCTAGCTTGGGTGACAACAAAAAAACGCGCAGTTAACTTTTAGCCAGAGAAGTTTGAACGAAAAAACAGCATGAGTGCACAACATAACTGAAATGAAATGACCACGACTAAAACTAGTCGATGGTCAACTTTCACCCCATCATAACAGAAATGAAATGACCACGACTAAAACTAGTCGGTGCTCAACTTTCACCCTATCATGCTGGGTTGCAAAGGTGGGAAGGAAGAGAATTCATTTTGTTCTTCGTAGAAACATTCGGTCTGCCACTAGTAAAATTGCTCTTCGCACACAGCCAACAGAACCCAACCAGCCTGTCAACATATGTGTGCCGCTGTCAAGGCAGCAGCGTCAGTCTAGGTAAAAAGGATAAAAAAAGACTCCTGTTGGGGCCATCCCTTGCTCAGCACTGTTGAAGGGACTTCAAGCATAACCCAATCACGAGATGAGCTGGGGAAAAAAAAAAAAGGCACAGGTTACACATACCAATGTTTGGAAATTCCTGGCGTGCACAGTGTCAATTTTTATGAAAGGGAACACGCGAGTGTCTTGTTTCAGCACACCAAGCTGACGGCACAGTGCCAAAGTTCCCGCACCGACTGCAGAAGGTGTGTTCATGTGCTCCAGTAGCGGCGAAACACACTGAATTGCTTGAGCCCTCTGCCGCATCTATTCCCAATCTCCCCCAGAGCTTGATGCCAGAGACGCAGGGCAGTGTTGTCAACACTCCATTGTCCGCTTTGGTTCTCTGTACACACATTTACAGGTGTATCAAGTTCTTTTAAATTAAAGTACAGGGCTAACTGTTCGGCATGATGAGCAACAGGTGATAACATAAGACCATTTTCCAAATCCGCATGCTTACTTCTCCGTAATGCACATTTGCCCTACTAATGGTGGCACCGGTCGTGCTTCAAGTGGAGACGAGGTCCAAGCTGCTCGTGTTAACGCTCGTCTATTATTTTTTCATTTTAGCATATCGTGTCATAGCACAAATATATTATGCATGCCTATATCAAGACAGCAGAGTCTAGATTTCTCATGTCATAGCACAAGCAAACTGTGCTTAAATACATTGTTTTCAGCAAGTGGTTAGCTGACATTAGTAGGACAAACTACATAGCACGAAGGCTAGCTTTACAATTATCATCTATTGTAGTGTATGCAAAGGGCATGTTTCTCGAATCTACAAAAAATAAAAATAGCGCTTAAGATGGGACGATACAGTGACACAGACACTACAGTGCTGTTCTACCAACAAGCCCAATCAAGCACACTTTTACCTGCTTTTTTTTTTCTGTCTAAAAATACCAATACTTGCCCGATAAATGTCACTCAAAACTACTTTACCGATCGTACTGTTGACTTGATATACTCCTTCTTGCCAGACAGATCATGGTTGGGGTATTTGTCGAAGACCTGTAAGAACACTCTGCTTAGAGGGCAAACAACTACGCAGTCTATTCTAGGATTGTATAAATACATGCATTTTTTAGTCAGACATCCAGAAGAAATAGAAAGCACAAACACCGTATTTACGCGCACAATTTGCACACTTTTTTCATGATATTGGGGCGTCGAGAAGGTGGTACGCAAATCATGCTGGCGATTTGTCGAGCCATACGAAATGTTGTGTCCTAACGCACTTAGTATATACACTTTAAAAAAAGAAGAAATAAAGTGAACCATGAACGTATTGTACTTGCTAATTTTGAAAGAATTAGCACGTACTCACTCGCAGTCTAGCGGGAACCAATGATCGCGAAGTCTGATTGGGAATCATCGTCGCAGCCGCTGCTACCGCCCTCCCGAAGCGCATCATCCTCGGTTCCGTGGAGCGCCTTGAGCGCCCCATTTTCTTGAAGCTCTTTTGGCAATGCTGGGAGAAACTATAGGGCCCACGACACGGCGATACCGGAAGAACTAAGCATCCGCACATAAGTGAAAAGGCCTTCTTCGATGGCAGGAAAGTTGCATTAGAAAGCGCACACTCTTCTGCTTTCTCGCGTAACAATCGCGCCGGTCGACACGTTGAAGTACGTCCCCATGAAGTGCTTTGCAGCGGCATGCTTCCCGTTTTCTTAGGTGAAATTTACAAAAGTGGGCTTTAATTTCGCCGTATATATATAATTACTGTAGCACATCACAAAGGAACCTTCAAAATGCATCGGCCTGATGGCGAAACATAAACTTCCAAAATGGACCAAGCGTGCGATGCAGCGCGGACGTAGACAACAAGGGGAACAGTTGGCGCGGCAAGCCCTCACATGTCTCTGTTGCAGAAAGTCGTCCATGCCGTGACGCGAGCGTGCTCGCCAAATATCGTGGAGTTAGAGATTGTGAGATAGAAGAAGGCAAACGCTCGAGCAGTTACGCCTTGTCAGTTAAGGCAGTTACGGCAACCCTTCAATTCTAGGAAGCCCTAGCACGGGGGAATTCCTCGGAAGAAGGAACTTCGCACTCCGGCCTGTTTGACTGCTCGGTGAAGCACGCACCTGGCCGAAGCATTGAACTGTCGAAAGGTGCGTGCGCGCCGACGAGCTGGCTCGGGCGGGTCGGGGAGCACGAAAGATGCGAGTAAATATTGTTCTTCCAAAAAGCTAGCAAAATGTTAGAGGTGTGCAAATTATGCCCGTAAATACGGTATGAGCTTTCAAGGTGTATGAATATATGCACCATCTTGCTGACAAAAATGCACTATTGTTACGGCTACTTTAGTAACACGTGGCAGAGGACAAGAACTACATGAGTGGCAAAACAGTGCTTGCTTGCACTTCCCTACAAAGAAATAGCATGTGGCGCACTGTCCGATGCTTCAGGATCTCATAATTGTTCGCTCTTTCTGACATTTCATTTGGGCATTGCTCAACAATGTTCATCACTTCAAGTATTACTGAAGAAATTCTCGAGAACTCTACAAGCAAGCCAGTCTGAAAACCGTCTCATACCCTCAATACTTTTATTTCGCTCAATACCCTCTCGTGTGTAATGACCAGACGTTTTTCTCACGGGTGTCGTTATGCAAGATTTTCGGGAAGGAAATCAAATTATGAAGACTGAAACTCCTGTAATGGCTACCAGGACTGTAACAATAAAGTCAGGGTTTTGAAGGTACATGTTTTTCAAGAGCTCCGTGTTACTCATGGGCTCTTTTTATGACTGCTCGAGCGCTATCAAGAATTGGTAGGACCTACTTCCGTGAGACATAATGTGTGTTGCTAGACATGCAGACCTGAATGGAGGCAATTTTTTCCCTTGCGCCATTGACTGTTGGTTCCCATCCATTGGCCTGTTTAGGCAGGCAAGTGCTGCAGTAATTTTACATTTTTCTTATGGCCAGTTTCCATTAACTTAATTATTAAATAAATAAAAATTATCTCATTTGTAATTCCAAGATATGTGCAAATAGAAACATTTTGGGTGCAAAGCATATTCAAATATTAAAGTATGAGTGCAAATAAAATAAAGTATTTTTTAAATAGTTTGAAGTGAAATTGCAGAATTTCTAGGCATGTTTACGTGAGAAAGCAACATTTCTTTTGGCAAGGTAAATGAAGCACTGGTGTTTCATAGTAGCAGAGGCAGAGTTCCATTTATGTGCAAGGGTTCCTCTTTCAACCTCTCGGGGCGCCAAAACTGATTTGGCAGACAAGAGGGTGCTCCATTCAAGTTGGACTTCCAAATCTGCCCCATCTGAAATTTCATTTTTTGGCATCTGATTTAGCAGACTTGCAGGGCAAATTTTAGGTCCAAAACAGCATTGATTGAACCCCCACCTCTGCCACATCTATTATCTCCATTTTGGAACCAGCGCGTTTTCAGCCAATACATATAAACCCGAAGCAGAACCTCAAAGGCAGCTTTCCAACAATACAAGTGTGTGATGAGGCACAGCACACTGAAAATCTGAAGGGGTCTTTCAATTCGACATTGACTGCATCTGCCTTCTGGAAGTTCGAGTAGTTTCAAATAAAAAGTTCCATTGCGAATCTAATCACATACAATATTCGAAAAATATTTGACTGCACAGCTCTGGTAATTTCTACAAAAAGGCGATTACCTGATACCACCTCGTGTATTGCTTATAACGGAGTAGCTTATACAGGAGTGAGCTCTGGCTCATAATAATTATCAAGTCTCACTCTCTATGACAAAACTATTTTAATAGTTACTTGGTTATATCCAGGTTCATTAAATCGGTCTTTGAGTGCAGTTTAAGCTATTCTGAACGAGGCTTCAGTGCAACACCTCCATCATATGAAATTCAATAAATGAGGATTGTTACAAAGGCAGAGCTGTGTGAATAGCAAAATTTTGGGAGCAGAGTAAATTAGATTACTTTTCAAATATTTTTTTAATACTTCAAAGCAAAGTTACAAAAATAATAACAACAAAATGGCACACAGTATGCTTAAGAATATTCTAAATTGTATTAAAAAAATATAGCTCTGCAATGACGCAACCATTACGAACACTGATTTAGCTCACTGCTTAGAACACAATAGTTGGGACACAATTTGCGAGAAAAAAAAATCGATCCAGTAGGCTCATAGTAAACACAGCGCATAGCTGACCTCGTGAATGACTTTCTTCATGGTGATCTCCTCCAAGTCTGCCCCATCCAGGATGCTCCGGATCAGCTCCTTGATGTCTTCTTCCTGGGTGCCCCAACACACAGCCGCCTCAGAACAAAACCATAAGGTAGCCGCAAGCACCAGTTTATACGAGATCAAAACAATGTCATTGTTCACTGAAATAACCAGCAACAAAAGTAAAGAAACAGCTGAATGAGCTATGCACATTAAAATGCCAGTTCCTGCTCCATAAATGAGGTGAAAGTGGTAAATGTAATGAGTGACCCATGAAAGTCTTCAAAAATATTAATAATCAGTATATCAAACTAATGTCAGATACGTTTCACCAATATGGTCTGCTTGTCAGTTGCAAAGCTATAGCACAATATATATATATATATATATATATATTGCTACGTGCCAGTGCATGGAGCTGAAGAAGACGAAGGAAATAGACTGGCGCAAGCTAATCTGTGTGGCTGGCGCTGCTCGCCTAACCGGCTGAAAATACATCGGTGACTACCCCTTTGAGTCAGTCTCCTTCCCGTAACATATTTGGTGGAGTTGTGCGATCCCCGTCCTCGCCACGGAACTCCGAAGCGGACGCTTCCTCGCGGCTTACAACATGACCACCCGAGACTCGGCTACATCCTCTCCGGTCGCTCCCTCTTGTGCCCAACCTGTCAACCCAGCGCCCGCAACAACTTTCGTGACGCTTCCCGCGCTCAAAGACCACGGCGTGTTCTCGGGCAGCGAGGGTTCCGACGTCGACCAGTGGCTACGCCTCTACGAACGCGTCAGCGCCACTTACAGGTGGGATCCCACTCTTATGCTGGCAAACGTCATCTTTTATCTCGACGGAACCCCTCGTGTTTGGTTTGATAACCATGAGCATGACATAACAAGCTGGGACAGCTTCAAGGCAAAGATCCGTGAGCTTTTTGGCAACATCTCTGGTCATCGTGAAGCTGCGAAAAATGAGTTGTCGACTCGCGCACAATCTTCCACGGAGCCCTACATTGGTTATATTCAGGCTGTCCTTTCACTATGCCGCCAAGCTGAGGAAAATATGTCTGAACCTGAAAAAGTTGCCCATATCCTAAAGGGTATCGCCGACGATGCGTTCAACTTGTTGGTATTCAACAATGTGTCATCTGTTGATGCGATCATTCAAGCATGCCGCCGGTTCCAACAAGCTAAAAGCAGACGCATCTCCCATCAGTTCCAGCGCCTCCCAAACACCACTGCGACGTCCTCGTGTCTCGACACATATCATCCACCAGACACCTGTGACAACTTGACGCGAATCGTCAGGCGGGAGCTTGAAGCGGCTGCTCCAGCTAAGGTGGGACCAACGTCCCCCGACCCCTCTCCGCCAATTACGTTGCCTCTCATTCAAGCAGTCGTCCGGCAGGAAATCGCCAGCTTGGGAATTCACTCCATCTCACCGCCTCCCCGCACCGACTACCAGCCCCGATACACGCCTGCACGTGCCTTCCCGACCGGCTCTCCCTCAACGTTCCGTAATCCGTCCGCATGGCGAACACACTATGACAAGCCGATATGCTTCTCGTGTCACAGAATCGGGCACATTTCTCGCCATTGCAGAAGTCGCTGGGGTCCTCCTGCACAACCGTCCTCTCGCCCCTTCTATGCACGTCCTGCCTATCGCCATGAGACCAGCCGCGACCATTTTGCCCAGGAACCTGCTTCTGAACCACGCTACTCCCACTCTCCATCACCCCAACGTCACCAGTCTCGTTCTCCACAGCCCCGCCGACCATCTTCCCCCGCCTTCCCACGAGGTTCCCCGACGGAAAACTAAGCGTTGCAGCCCCCGGAGGTGGCGCTGCATCGCTCGGACTGACCGAAAATCCCCTTTTGACGATACCGACAAAACGGAACCTCATAGACGTACAAGTAGACGGCGTATATGTCACTGCTCTTGTCGACACCGGCGCCCAACTTTCCGTGATGACGAGTGATTTTCGCCGCAAGCTCAAGAAGGTTCTCACACCTGCGACCACTCAGTTCGTCCGTGTTGCGGATGGTGGAATAGCATCTATCGTGGGAATGTGCTTCGCTCGTGTGAGCATTGCCGATTGACACACAGTTGTTCTCTTCACCGTCCTTGATAAATGCCCCCACGACGTAATCTTAGGCCTCGACTTTCTGTCCGCGCATTCTGCCCTCATAGACTGTTCGACCAGTACGCTCCGTCTACACTTGCCCGCAACAGAACCTCTTACACAACGGCCGAGTCGCCTCTGCACAACGAGACACACGCGCCTCCCTCCACAGACCCTGACTTACATAGAGCTCGTCTCAATACCACCAGTTCCCGACGCTGACTATGTTCTGACGCCTATCACCGATGTCCTCATAAGCCGTGGCATTGCATTACCGCACACCATTCTGTCCGTCGCAGGAAGTTCTACGTGCCTCCCAGTTGTCAACTTTTGCTTGTCACCTAAAGTTTTGCCACAAGGGATCTCTTTGGCGTTGCTCTACGCCTTAGAAGACAATGCGGTAGATGTTTTCGCGATGGGCACCCCTTCTGACCCCTACGCTCAACATCAATCTGCCACTTGCTCCGACAGCGCTATTACTTCGATGATCGCTTCCAACTTAACGCCGCAGCAGACTGATGAGCTCCACCGGGTTCTGCTGTCCTACATCGACGTTTTTGACATCAGCGGCCGTCCGTTGCGGAAAGCTACCGGCATGAGCCACCCCATAAACACTGGTAATGAGCATCCTATTCATAGGCGTCCATATCGAGTGTCGGCAGCCGAGCGTCACATCATCCAAAGTGAGGTCGACAAAATGCTCGCCAAGGACATCATTGAGCCATCCTGCAGTCCTTGGGCTTCTCCTGTAGTGCATACCACCGAGTATGCCCGCGACGCGATTGCGCAAGCCGATCATGCCCGTCAGCTCGCTTGCGCTCGGCTGATGGCGTCGCAAACCAACCAATGCCGTCGGTACGATGCGGAACATAGAGACGTACATTTCGCTCCCGGTACCCTCGTTTTACTCTGGTCCCCTCATCGTCGGCTGGGCCTATCCGAAAAACTTCTCTCATTACACGGGACCCTACCGTATATTGCGTCAAGTAACACCTGTCACCTACGAGATCAGCCCCATCTGTCCATCATCATCTACTATGCGGCCCAGTGATATCGTACACGTCTCGCGGATCAAGCCCTACAATAATGCGTCAGATAACGACCTTTAAAGCACCAGGACGGTGCCTCCGCCGCCGGGGGTCATGCTACGTGCCAGTGCATGGAGCTGAAGAAGACGAAGCAGATAGACTGGCGCGAGCTAATCTGTGTGGCTGGCGCTGCTCGCCTCACCGGCTGATAATACATCGGTGACTACCCCTCTGAGTCAGTCTCCTTCCCGTAAAAATATATACTGCCAATCATTGTCGAATTCTGAATTGCTGGTATGCAGCTATATGCAAGCTGCATGGTGCCATATCAGGATGATGGTATACAGCTTCTTTTTGGTTTTGTTTAGGCTCACTGAATCATCACATGGTTATTGGTTGCAGTTTCCTTAAAGACACGTCGGAGCAGCACTTTCGTCACTAAACACACCATATCAAGTTTTTTTTAAATGTAAACAGTGTGCTTAGTGGCATAAATAGTGCACTTACTGGGGAGGGGACGCAAGCAAGAAAAACATATCTGCCCAGCAGCAAGTCACATCTCCAGCCTGTGCTGCTGAGCACCTGTTCTCTTTGACAAGGTGTCGTGTCATCTAAACTTATGAACAGGCAAGCACAATCATGGTAAGACAGAATGGTACAGGCTTGACTGATCAGCAACAATATTTTACTTGCAGCAACAGGCTGGTGGCGATGCATACATCCTGGCACAGCCTCCACTGCATTGAAACTGCACTCCCTTACACTGCACAGTGTAGAACTATGTGATTCTTTCCAGTCCTTTAGGCACAGCGACGCATTTATCAGCAGTATAGCAGTGGAAATGCAGATTGGCACAGGGGGGCGCAAAATGATACGGCACTTCTACCCCTACGGTCAGTAAATCGGAAGGACCTTAAGAGTGAAATACTAGAAGGATAAGGATGGGATGGAGCACATTTAGCAAGCATTCTTAAATCATGCATGGCAGTCTTTCAAGAGGAAAGTTACATAACAGCTGCATCTTAGCGGTACTTACCTATGAAGCAGAAACCTGAAGGCATAGAAAGAGGATTTAACTTAAATTGAGCAATGAGAAAGAAAATGGTAGGTACAACCTTATGACACAGTAGAGAGCAGAGCAGATAGGGAGCAAACGGAGGTTCAGGATATCATAGAGCAGAGTGGGTAGAGAACAAACTCAGGTTCAGGATATCATAGTTGAAATCAGGATGAAGAAATGGACATGCGCCGGGCAAATGCTTGAAGGGGAGACAGAAAGTTAGGTGGGCTGATGAGATTGAAAAGTTCGCAGGTATAACGTGACAGCAGGAAGCACAAGACTGAGTTGATTGGTTGATCATGGGAGAGGCCTTTGCTCTGCAGTGGGCGTAGTCAGGCTGATCAAGCTCACCGTGGGCTCTGTGCAGTCGCTAACCTTGGCAGACGCTTTTCCATCCGTGGCAGGCTTCTCATCTGCTTCGTCCTCGTCTTCAGACTCTGCAAGTGTTTGCAATGACACACTAACTGATACCAACGAGCTGCTTTTATGAGCAAGGCCTCAAGTTATAGCAGTAGGTGCTGATAGCAGTAGGTGCTGAGGCGTAGCTTTTGCTTACGGTGAAACAGAAAATGACGCACTTTGTAAACGAGTTGGGACAAGCTGCTCACTGCTCACAGAATACTGAGGCAAATGCAAAGCTCAGACAGGACAGGGAGGATGGAAGAGCTGTACAGTTAATTTCCATTACCTCAGAATTACACAGTTAAACACCTTTGTAAGAGGCATGCTCTGGGCAGCAATTTTCGTTTTTTATATGACATGTTTTTCATAAGCAAGGTACCTTGTATGTATTTTCTTATAAACCTGTCTTTTACTTACTGTTAGCACGCTGATGTCTCTTATACCCATTTGTCTCTTATAAAGAGGTTCAACTGTAAAAACCAGAAAAATTTCCTAGATGAGTGGAACTGCAGTGTTCTCAATTGGGCTCACCTTGCTTCTTGCGACCCTTCTTGGCAGGAGTAGCTTTCTTTGCAGGCTCGGCCTTTTTTGCAGTTTCGGCCTTCTTTATGGGCTCAGCCTTCTTTGCGGGCTCGGCCTTCTTGGCTGACTCGACCTTTTTCTCAGCCTTCTTGTTGGTCTCTACCTTCTTTGGGGTTTCAACTTTCTTTTCGAGCTCTTCCTCCGATTCATCGTGCTTGTCATTGGTGTTCTTCTTTAGGGAGTCCTCTTTCTCTTCTGACTCGTCCTTGTCGTTGGACTTGTCTTCCTCGCGACTGTCATTCTTCTCGTCCGAGTTGTCCGATTCATCCTTCTTGTCGGACTCGTCTTCGTCAGACTCTCCCTTCTTCTTCGCTATTTTCCTCCGCTTGGCTGGAGTGGTGCTCTTCTGGGCCGCCGCCTTCTTCTTGGCAACAGGCTTCTCCTCTTCTTCCTCCTCCTCCTCCTCGGCCCCTTCACTTTGCACAGAATCCTTCAAGCAGCAGAAGAAAAACAGAAGAAACGCCATCTCCCAGCCTCTGCTTACCATGACTGCGTACAACTCTTCTTAGAGTTAAAGGGACACTAAAGAGAAACAATGAGTTGTTTTAAATCACTTCGAGAACTACAATGCCACAAGTTTCACGGTCACAAGTTTTATTATAAACAGAGAAAATTAAGGTTGAACTTTCCTTTTAAAATTTCACACCATCATCACCGCGCGTGACGTAAGAAATTCCACAATGTATTTTTCGTACTTCATATGCTAAGTCCATGGCACCCACAAATTACAATATACTTTAGTTACATCGATTAGAATCTACATAGGACCCATTAGATGCCTTCAAAAATGAATGGCGTCACAGTGTGTGGTGGAGGAATCTCAACTGTAGTTTCTTGTCGCATGTTTTCTCGCTTACCAAGTGTTGAGAGTGCTGTTTTCGGGATTGTGAAATTGCGCTATACTAATACACGAACAGGGGTTTTGCTCTTTTGTGTCTCTTTAAACAGTAGGCTTGGCAAAAAGTAAATTTCAGGTTCACACTACGGTCAAATACTTTTTAATCAAATTTAAATAGTATACAACACATATAAGAGAGAATGAGCATAATTGTTATGACCCAACTAACCTGCACAATCCTTTTTAGTGCTGTTTCTGTTGTTTAAGGAAAGTGGAAGCAACTTTCAATACCAGCAGGATTTGGCTTTCAGTAGAGTGCAAGAGGTAACTTGCAGATTACTTTTAACATTGGCTATACTTACAAGCATGTTGGTTAGTATAACAAGCTTCTAAACATGAAAATTATGAATCACTCTGATGGTATTACGTTCCTTCAATCTGGACTTAGCGGCAGTAGACTTTTTCTGGATATGTATTCACAATATAGCACCCCTCCACTGCAGTGAAACCACCTTCACAAAGGGGTTACATGCGTACTTGGTTGAACCCACTTGTAAGAAAACTCAAGTGGCGTGAAAATTTCATTGTTATAACTGATAATCGCTATAAACAAGCAGTAATGACGGCGAGCTAACTTCAATTCCCACAAGATTCATCATAAAAATGACGTAAGAGCTATAAAAACACGGATGCCAGAGAAGAAGAAGACAACGCAAACCAACCACCAACTGAAAGGGTGGAGTGCAAGGGACGAGAGAGTAGACCGGAAACTTATCTGCACAAGCACAGGTATAAACAAAAGAAGGTGAATCTCAAGGGGCAGGTTTTGTTTGCTAGACACAACATTAATTAGAACAGACAAGAAAGCCAACCGAAGTATAGAGGGATGACACATGTTGTAATTATGATGGAAACGTGAAAACAGAAAAGTGGATGATAAGACTACTTGCCATTGGCAACAACCGAACCTATGAGCTTCAAATATAGCGTCTAATGCTCTATTGCCTGCAGTGTTGTGGAAAGGGCGTCTCCATTCAATTCAATTTCGGGGAAATGCAATTTGCCGCAATAGGTGGATAGCAAAATGGTGGGTCGTCTGCTACGGTATTTCCAGTTCGAGGCCAATCCCTTCGCTGCTTCAAGGTGCCTGCTGCGCTGTGTGATTGGGCAGAAAAGACGTGCGTGCCATTCTGTGACGCTTTTGCTGCCGCTTCTTGTATGATTGCGTTCAATTCTTTTTTGTGAATGAATAGACGATATTTGGAGAACGAAGCAAGACATGGACATGGCCAAAAATGAGGAACATTGAGAGATGGGTTTCCAGCACAGAGTGCGGTTATACTTTGAAGCATGCAGTAATCTTTAGCATAATCACCACTATTTAATATGTCTGCTATGAAAGCTAGGGGTAGCTTTTAACACGATGACGTTTGAACATGTGCTGGCAAGAAGGAATTTGTCAGGGCATAACAACTCCCTCAATTCCATATATTTACTACAGATGCCAGCGAGTTACCTTCGTTTGTGTACTCTTCCATAGATATAAGGCTAAAAAGTTGTGGGAATTGAGGCTAGCCCGCCGCCTCTGCGCGGGCTTTGCCGCCTTTTCTGCCGTTCTCAAGTCCCGACATGACTCCCGTCCTCCGCTGTCTGCCGCCCTGGGAGAGCGAGGAATGACGTTTGACCCCTCTCACCCAGTAGCAAATGTCGACTGCGGCGCCGCGCGGAGTCTCCCGAGAGGTTTCGCGCCGTGCGTCGGAAGTGAGTCAGATTCTCCGGGACAGCTTACGGTGAAACATGCATTCCCTTTTCTGTCCGTCGACTCCCGTTGTTTGGGGCTTGTCGGACTTCACTGACGACGCCTCGCACCCGAAGTGAACGCTCACCTTTTGTTGCCCCTTTGCGTACGCTCGGCCGAAGGGCAGTACGGTGTCCTAGTGCGTGGCCAAGCTATGCCGACCCGTCTCCCTCCGAAGCCAACGTGAGAACCTTTGCCCTCGCTCGAGCGACCGGGCCTTGGTCCCGGTGTTTCCGTGAATAACTCAATCACTTTTACCACGGAGACGTGCTCGTGGCATGCTGTGTAGTACTTTTACGCCCATGGTGTGGATAAGCCCATTTGCTTTCTCGCCGCGCCTCAGCAAGACCGGACCCACGCTAGTGGTCGTACTCAATCAGGATACGTGTCACTACACTGGCCCCACGTTGGGCGCCAGTGTAGTGTGCACGTACCTGGAAGGATAGCCCTCCTATTTTTCATATAAGTAGATAGCGTCGTTTTCGGTATCCCATGCTTTTTCGCGATATCTTGCTTAGGCAAGAGTCCGGCGTCTACTTTCTGCAGGATATCAGCTTTCTCCTGAAGTGTTTTGGCACGATATTTGCCGCGGGCACACGCCATCAAGTCGGAGCAGCAGAATCGCGACAGATGGGAAGCTACTACTGGTGCTACCACAACAAACGTTAGCCAAGGCCTAACACCAACACAAAGAATCGCGACAGTCGGAAGCTACTCCTAGCACTAACAACCGAGGTGTACAATGCACGCCCGAGACAGGAGACAGCAGAGAAGGCTGGGTAAAACTACGACACACCCGATTTGCTGTGTGCTGGTCGTGCCATCTGTCGTCTAACAGCGACTACACAGGATTTTCAAAGTCTCCGAGATTGGCGCTTAAAAAAAAAAAACATCTTGGAGGTTACGTAGGACGAAAAGCAGGCAGCCGCCGAGAGAGAGATTGTGGGGGGAGGGGGTGAAAAGTAAGTGGCGCTATTCTCTGCACTCTGGCCTCCGTGCCAGTTTCTCCATTTTTCTCTCCACTCACTGTCAATGCCGCCTCGTAACTTGGCAGCCACCCTATCGAGTGACTAGCCGGCGCGGTGGCGCATAGTTCAAATTATCCGCGGCGGTACCTACTCGCGTTCGAATTAACGGGCTTTTTTATTCATAGGCTTGTATGGAGCTTAGCCGGGCCATAACTTACAGTTTGAATTATCCACAAATTTGAATTATTGAAGTTCGAATTAACGAGCTTTCACTGTATGCCCATTTTGCTTGCAAAATGAGACATAAATCCTATTCAATTTTGATTAGAAAATTATTTGACCAAACTCACCATTCCCTTTGAATTTGGTTCGAACCTGAAATTCATTATTTGCAAAAGACTATTCAATACGTATCACAACTTAGAGAAGCACTTTTTCGAATATGCGTCGCTGATGGTGGCAGAAGTGAAAACAATGTTAATGATGGGGAGACAGCAGGCGCCACCGAGAGGGAAAAATCGTAAGGTATAACGTGATATGCCGCCACCACAGTTCCGCAAGACTGATACCATGGCATGAAGCTATGGTTACATGAAGAATAGGGGAAAACTCAAGCGCAACACAGCCTATATAAGGACAAAATTTTAGTAGGTGCATTGCTTACAAATGTACCATGCATGTAATCAGTCAAGCTTTTTTAATTACAGCTTTATTGTTAAATATTCAAGGGTGTGACTTCTAATGTTTGAACCTTGAAAAAGTCGAGGAAAAAGTGCGGTATTTAATGGAAAAGACGTCATTCCATTCCCATTTCACTCTGGATTCATTCTGATTTCGGAGTAGCAACTCCGCAACACTGACCAACTAAACTATAGTAGTGGCTACTCCCCCCCCCCCCCCCCCCCCGTATACTTTATGGGGTACATATGTGCGTTTAAGCGTGGGCGTCTAAAATTAGTCAGTGCTGCTAAAACCATGAGGGCGATGTGGAATACTTTTCATTTTTGCCTATTAATGTCATGTAACACGTGATCTTATTACCCAGCTGGCCGGTGACCAATAATCCCTCGCATACTACCTGAAAGCATTATGTCTGCCATAACGAGACATCCTTCTCGCAGAAAAAGAAAATGAACTGCCAGGAGAATAAACTTTCTATTTAAAAAAACATACTGCCTAATTCTATTTTCTTTGTAATGGTCAACTTAGAAGCATGTCAGTTTTTATTTTGGACCCACAAATACTTGGTCAGTATTGCATTTGAGTAAAAGAAGGCGATTTTTTTTAATGATATTGGAGAGCCACCATAAGTTGTGAAATGGGCACAAAATTGCACCATATAATCGAGATTTCCATTACATTATTACCATGGAAGTTTTACCAGAGCCAAACCGATACATAGTAAAGTGCAGGTAATCACAAAATCAGGGCAGATATATTTGAGGTTTGACTGCAGAAGGTGACAAAGCATTATGAGATGACGAGGCAGAAGATTTTCGGTTCTGACCCAGTGGTTTCAAAGATCAAGTTCACTGAAAAAGTGTGGCTTTCACGAGCCAGTCTTGGAGCAGCAAAAATTGTATCAACGCAAGTAGATTCTAAATTTCGAAAATGAACACCAGTGTGCCACACTTACCTCGGACTCAACCTCAGATTCATCGTCATCAGCGAGCCGTTTTCGAGATGTCTTTCCCTGCAAAGACAGACTCCTCAGTACTGCACTGAACCAAACCACCAAACAATATGTATTTTCTCGCCGCGTAATGAACACAGCTCCATAAAAAGCCCCCCCCCCCCCCCCAACTTCAAATCATCTAAATTTCCCCCCCCCCCCCCCCCCCCGCGTAGTAAACCCACCCCCAACATTCATCCGCTGCAGTCCTGCTGACACATGGTGCCTCCTTGCCTGTTGGATCTCTAATTTTCTTTTTTTTATAATTATGCCGACCCCCATCTGGCACATTGCCCCCCCCCCCCCTCCTTTCCTTCGACCCCTCCTGCGTGCCATTTTTTTTTCTATCTGTGCGCGGCACGTCCTCAGTCTTTTTTATATGTGCCCCACAGCGGGGTTCACGAACGGTGCGAGTGCAGGGACATTGCAGCTGATAAGCGCATAGAGCAAAGGTCACAAAACTGCCCGCACCAAGCGACGGTCGCTTCCTGCAAATATGACACTTTAATGCCCAACCACATGCACGCAATTTTCAAGCCATGACGACAGAATTTGCCGTCACCATGGCGGTCATGAAGGGCCAGCCATTCATCGTGATTGTGTCGCAGGTTTCTGGAAAACCCAAAAAACTGCTTGTCATCTAGAAAAATATCGTGACTATTTCCGCATTATGGTCCTACATTCTTGCAACAGTTGCAAGCGAGGCAGCCGCCTTATTCTGTTGTTAAGGGCTACCATGGAAGGGCAACTTTTTTGTATGCAGAGATATTTTAATGAAAATTTCAGGGTAGGGTAATAATAAAGCCATTTGAGTAACCACAAAATTTCTTGCATTTAGGTTCACTGGTTCCCAAGTTACAGCTATTTATCAGGATAATCCACATAGGTTTCTTAGTCAGTCTCTGGTGAATTTAATAAATGTGCCAGCACCGTAAAATTTGCTATGATGATTCCTGGATGGGTGCTTTACACTAAGACAGAGCCTTTTTTTTTTTTTTTCAATTTCCATGCTGAAAAGTTTTAGCAGAGCACTGTATTTGGTGTTTGCCATTGAGCATTTATCAATGAAATTTCAATTATTTATCACAAATTACAAACACAATAAATTTAAAAGACGGCTCTGTCAGTGTGTGGGCTATTTACTAGGATACAGAATAAACAAATCTGACAGAAATCAAATGAACCACTGCAGAGATAACACCAGACTAAACAGCCTCACTGGCCAAAAAAGTCATTCTGAGAAAACTGACTTTGAAAGTTTCGAACCCATATTTTGGTATAAAATAACCCTGCAAAGTAGCTAGAAATGTTCTTTAGGACTCTGTTCCTGCTTGTGTTGCAGCCGTTCTTGAGCCTTTTTCACACGATAAGGGTTGTTCTGCGCTGCCCGTTGGTTGCCGGTAAAGCACAGTCAGTTGCCGATATAGCGCCGAGCTTTGGTTGCACAGCAACACATTTGCTATCCTCCGCGATCGCACTGTTCGGGACCGTAACCACTGCAGTTAGCGAGCACAACGCATCAGGCGCCCTTGAGCAGGAAACACAAACACCAACTTCACTTGTGACGACGAAGCGTTGCGCCGATGGTGTAGCAATCTCGACGTCGCAATAAGCGTCAATGCAATCGTCGTCTTGAAGAGACAAACGAGAAACTACACAGCATTGATGCAACCGTCGCCCACCCGTTAGCGCATCCCAAGTCCCAAACTTGGCCCTGCCCATTGTTCGTGACAAAACAACAATCAACATCTCGCGAACATGGCGAAAGAGTCTCGTAAAGACGGTGAAAGATTGAAGAGCACGTGTGATAAACAGGCGGAATGATGGCACAAAGAATGCCCAGAGAGTACCGGCGCTTGCGATGCTTGCAAGGCCAGCCCCAGAGCAAACGGCGAGCCGGGGGAACAATTGCGTGATCGCGCGCAGTAGCCAGTAGGAACTGCGTAATCGCCCACTCCTTTGAGAGGCGCGCACTTCTTCCAATTGCAGCTTCGCATCCAAGCCGCGGAAGACCTCAGAACTTCGAGGCCCCCCAATCATGGGCGATTCCCGCCTCGGCCAAGCCGCTGCTGCCGCCGCCGGTGGCGAAAAAGAAGAAAAAGAAGAGAGCAAGAATTCACGAGCAAAACAAGACCAAGATGGTGGCGCTGGGCCGCGTGGTTGGGAAATGGCAAACACGCGAAGTTGGGGTATTTTCAGCGCTTGCTGGCCATTCGCCGGCTGCTGTGGCATGTTATATAATTTGTTTGACGTACTTTTGCGATGAATTAAACATTGATATTTACAGAACAAAGAGTTTATAAGACATACTGCCCGAATATGTGGTTTTTAAAAATCAAATTTTTTGTGATTTTTCGGTTTGTTTTGATGTTTTGGTGGTAGCCTGCTGCAATGTCAGTTACTTGCTACAATGTCAACGGCGGCGGCGCTGTCATCGTGCGAGGTTGCCGTGAAGTTGGCAAAGTGCGCCGTAGCACACGCTTTCGGGCACCCTCGAGACCACAGCAGATATACCGATTGTGAGAAAAGATAATCGCAATACGCTTTAAGGGGGGACGCGGGTCTTAGAATGGTGAAAAATGGCCAAAAAGTCGAATTTGAGAAAATGCGATATTTGAAATTTTTAGACCTATAAGCACGTGTCCTCAAATTGTGAACGTTGAATTCGATCAGTAAATGGATTAAAATTGATTATGAAGTCGCCACGGGAGCCGCAAAACAACCCACGGCAGGTCAAATTCGTTCAAACTTCCCGCGCCCGTCGCCGGCGAGGCAGTCGCCGATCGCCGCCATCTTGGGCTTGTTTTGAAGCCGATTCCTTTGTGCTCATTTTGCCACCCTTCAAAATGGCATCGCTTAAACAGAACGGCGGCCTTCGCCTCTTTTCCAGAACCCCCTTCCGGGCCGCTGATTGGCCGGAGCGCGCGCGCACCAGCCAAGCCCCCTGTTCCTCACTTCCCATTGGCTGATGCGGCCAAAGTTGCCCGCGCTTTTTTAAATATTGTTTGTCGGCCACCGGTTCCCGTTCGCGCACGTTGTTCGTCTGCTTCCCGCACGTGCCTGCTTGTGCTACGCGACCGATGCACCAACTTTCAGTCTTTTGCCAGCATGATTGGAGACGCTCGTCTAAAGAAGACGCGCCAAGCATACGGCAAAAAACGGAGGCGCCCTGGAACGCCCGCCAGAAGAAAGCAGCCGACAACGTGCAGCCGATTTCGCCCAATGCCGCCGAAGCGGCGCATTCCGACGACGGCGCACAGCTGCGGTTGCTTGTGTCTGAAGCGCTGCACTCTCCTGAGCCTTACAGCAACACCTCATCAAATTGTGTCGTCGTCGGACCGTCCTCTTGCACTTCCAGCAGCATCCTAGACCGCATTGACACGGCGTTTTATTCGGCGGACGAGTTTGCTGAGTGCGCGAGAAATGCAGCGGGCTTGAAGGCATCACTCGCATTGCAGTGCGCGACGTAACGTAAGTTCGAGTCACTAGATATTGATCTGGAGGATGGTGGCAAAGAAAACGGGACAGAATTTGTTATTGCTGATCTGGCAGCGATACGCTCGTTACTTGGACTTGTCGCATATCCAGAATGCAGTGAAAGAAGCATCACTATTTCAAAGGCCAAGAAAGAGTACGGGCTGCGTTCGAAGCTCATAGTCACGTGCGGCAGTTGTGACTTTCGCGAAGAGCGTTTTTCGTCCCCACGTATAGACGACGAGGCCGACGCCAAAATAAAACCGTTTGAAGTTACAGTTACTATGTGTGCCATGAAGGCCATCAACAGTATCGGCAAGGGGGCAACGGCTCTGAAGGACTTCTTTGCCGGGATGAATATTTCGCATCGAGGGCTCCACCACAAGAGTTACCAAAGCCACATTAATATAATGAAAGAAGCCTGCTGTGCGACTGCTGCCGAATGCGAAGCGGCGAGCGCTGCTCGCGTCAAGGAGCTCTATGCGGATATCGGCAACGCGCCTGGAAACGTCGACGTCATTTATGACGGCACCTGGCTTACGCGTGGACATAGCTGGCATGTACAGTCGCCGACCGATTTTCCGGACTCCAAAAATTCAGACTTGTTGGATATTCCGGACTTCATAAATGCACCGTCAGGGATCCCATAGAGCTAATGCATTGTTTCGACCGATTTTTCAGGCGAATTTGCCCCTGAAAGCTCGATTTTTCGGACTAAATCGCTCGTTTTGTGCCACGCCCCAAGCCATTGTGAACGCCGCCATGTTGGATTTTCTGTCGGCTTGGCTAAGCTTGGTCTTCAGATGCCTTTCCTGCCTCCGAGATTGGAATGTGTACGCCATATTTTAAGTTTCGGAGGCCGTGTTTGCTTTTTAAAAGACGCGGTGATGGATGCCGTTTTTTCGTTTTCGGTCAGCACTATCGTCATCACATCGCACGGGGAGGAGGCGAAAGGAGGATTGTTTTATTGTCGTTGCAGCTTTTTTCAGTCGCCATTCTGCACGTGTTGTGTCGCGTAGCGTTGAGACGTTGTGTGCTTCGCAACGGCTATCTGCGGCATCGAATTTTGTGTTCTCGGTGCCATGGCTCCGCTATCTGTGCCATCGCGGGAGCCGGGTGGTGTGAAGAAGCGTGGGAAGTATACGACCCTGACGATGGAGAAGAAAGCTGCCATAATCAAGCTAATAGAGAGTGGACGTTCGCAGCTAGATGTCGCTGGATGACGGTCGACGCCGGATGGCGGTCGTGGTTGTCGTCGAATGACAACGACGACCTCCCGCAGCCGTCAGAGATCGCCAACACGGTGGCAATTTTGTCGAGCGTTTACAGCGACGATGTCACCTTGGCGCAAATACGGGCTAACCAAATCGCCTCCAAGCGTAGTTTGAGGCAAGGCAGCATCAAGGACTTTTTTAAACCTGCCTGATGCAATAAACTTCAGATTTTTGGCGAAAACGAATTTTTCGGACTGTTCGATTTTTCGTACTTTTTTTCGGTCCCCGCCAGGTCCGAAAAATCGGTCGGCGACTGTATGTGTTGGCTGCATTGTTGAGATGTATAGTGGCCTCGTGATAGACCATATCGTGCTATCAAACTTTTGCCTGGCTTGCACCACAGGACCCAAGGAAGGAGAAGCAGGACATTCTGCCTGGCTCATTCAGCATGCCCCTCTGTGCCAGAAGAATGTTGATTGTAATGCTGGCCAGATGGAAGTGGAGGCAGCACTACGCTTGTTTGAGCGGTCACTTGAAAAGCACAAGCTTCGTTATACGACAATGCTGTCGGACGGCAACAGCAGGACATTCCATGCACTCACAGAAAAAGAGGTATACGGCTTCATAAAGGTGGCCAAAAAGGACTGCATAAATCACAAACACAAGCGTATGGGAGCTGCCTTACGTACCCTTGTAGACAAAAAGCTCAAGGTGGCTCACTTGGTGGAAAGGGCAGACTCGCAACAAAAGATAAAGAAGATCACCTCATACTAGGGCTACGCATTGAGAAGCCACAGGAACGATGTTCCAGATATGCAGAAGGCTGTTCTAGCAACTTTGAACGACATGTCTTCAACTGACGAGGCACCAAAGCATGACCTTTACGCTGAACGCCCTGAATCCTGGTGCAAATTTCAGAGAGCTCTTGCTAAAAATGAAAAGCCGCCACGACACAAGGAAAGCCTGCCTGATTTCGTAACTGAGGCATTGGAGCCTGTGTTTAGGCGGCTGAGCAACAATGCCCTCTTGGAAAGGTGCAGCGATGGGATCACCCAGAACCCAAGTGAGAGCCTGCACGCTATGATTTGGCAGCAGGCCCCCAAAACTCAGCATGCATCCTTGCGGAGCATTGAAAGGGCAGTTGCCGAAGCCATCAGCCGCTTCAACCAAGGCACAACCAAGAGCAACGTGAAAATTGCCGAAAAGCTGGGCTACAGCGCTGGCAATAACTTGGTGCGTCGCAGCCTTGAGGAGGGCAAGGGCAGGCTGCAAAAATCGCGAAGAAAGCATCTCGACAGCAGTTCAATAAAGGAAAGACTTTCAAAGCGTCATAAGCCAGCATGCAGGGGACTCTGCTTACAGCCCTGGTCTGCTATAAACAGTCATGATGGCAAATAGTGAGAATTTTTGCAAAAATAAATATTCTTGGTTTTAGACCTACACATTGTGTAAATCTATTGTCTACCCAAGGACAACATCATTACATGATTTTATGTTCCTTTCACTTGCAAGGCACTGGAACGACCACAAAGTAATAAAATAATAATTCTCATGCTCAGTCAACGACTATTTTATAGTTCTAGAACAAGCTGTGAGCAGTATTCTAAGTGGTCACAGTGAAATTTATCATGGCCATTTATCCTATAATATAAAGCTACAGAATGATGTCATTAATATCGCTGTAGCTTCACTTTAGCAAAATTTAAAGTTGCTAGAAACTTCAAACGCGTTTTTCTCAGTTCGATGTTTTTGCACATTGCACTCGGCCTTAGGGGGGGTTTTCCTATGTTAAACTTGAGTGAATGCGACTAAGTTGGTATCATTTTATTCGTCTTGACATGATCTAGGGGATGATGCTATTTCTATTTCTCAAGCATCACTTCAAAAATTACCATTGAAGATTTTAGTGGAGAAATGTTTTGTAATATAGTGACCATAAGTGTTCATCCGTATTCTTGCTTATAAAATGCCTTCAAATGAATAAAAATAGCATCACCCCCTACAGCAAGTCTCCAGCATTGGGATTATGCATTCACTTTTTGGATTTAGCAAGAATAAATTGCAATTAATTATTACGCAATTAATACACAATTAATTAATACACGATTAATTAAGATTCATACCTTCATATTTTTTAAACCACTTGAAATATTAAGAAAGAAATTAGATATTTGAAATTAGCATGAAAAACTAGCTAAGGTAGTGAAGTTTGGTTAAGATTGAGCAAAAATTTTAAAAAAATTTTAGAACCCACGTCCCCCCTTAATGGCGTGCACGAACAGCGCGAGGACAGCTTGCAGAAGATAGCGCCATCAACCACCGAAGATGAGCGAAAAGCATCACAGAAGCCATTTCCAACAGTGTACGCGAATGTCAATTGCGAAACGCTAAGTGACCAAACTATATTTCTTTTGCATTACCGTATTTTTTGCTCATCCCAAAAAAGTTTTCATGAAATTTGCCTTGCGGAATAAACGAACCCAGAACTTTGTAGCGATATTTCGAGAAAGAAGTGTGTTCATTACGCCAGTAAATGCGGTAGTGCAAAACCAGCCATACACAAGTGCAATCAAGTGCTTCTTAAACAATTTCACCGTGTAATCAAATCAAATGACCCACCCACTGGAGTTTAGTGACTCGAAAATCACCCTGCTAAGAACAGCCTATGCATGCCAAACAAATTCAGGGTCAGGGTCCACAGTATAATGTTTTCATTCTGGAAATGCACACTTTGGAAAATTAACATCAGCACCTACATTCAATACCTCAAGGCCATTTGTTATTACCCCTTAAATACTCGTGCGAAGAGTGCACCGGGATAAGCAAGCACCAGTAGCAGCAGCTCACCTTTATCTCCTGCTTGGAAGTTGCAGTCTTTCGCTTTTTGGACGTGCCTTTGCCAGCAGAGCCAGGCGTTGTGGATTTTCCTGCAATACAGAAAAAAAAGCACATCTACTCGACACGCCACATGAGGATGTACTTAGAAAAATTCTACGATTCCGACAATGCCTAATGCAAATTCTCAGCACATCTTTGTGTTGCGGAAGCCCAATTGTGTTTTGGCTTTCTGCAAAGTATTGACTACCCTATTGGCCGCGAGATCGAGCAGAGTCGCCACCTGGCGGCACCTGGTCAAAACCGTGAAGTGTGGATGGCTCTTTGCGTCGTCTGCTAGTCGCATCGTGTTTTTATGTGCATGTATGTCATGCACGCGCTCAAATTGTGGTTAATCCGGTCTTGTCATCGCAAGTGTAACTGTTTCTATGTACGCCTGAAACGACGCACGAAAGCATTTGGTCTTTCTCAGCTGCTAATGCATTGTAATAAGATCGGCGAGTGCAACTTTCCAGAGTACTGTTTATTGCCGTCGTACCCTTCATTCGCCAAAATATTTTCAGAGTGGGTGGCGCTTTCTGTTCCAAGCACATCGCAAAATGCTCTTGTCATAGACTCAATTGTTAAAAAAAAAAACCAAAAAAAACTGGCACTGTTGGTAGGTGTACAACTACGGAAGTGTAGTTTATCAATCATGCAAGGAGCCTCAGTTGTGATTATCTGGCCATGGTAGCACTACATAAAAATATTACTATCACATAAACTTTGAGACTTCGGTACTTGCACTACAGTGGAAGGGCAACTTTTTTATTTCCGGTTCGCATTCGATGCCCTTGGAGCTTCGATCCCGTACCGTGCCTCCAACCATGTACCAAGACGCCGCCCAGCAAACGCTTCCTCCTACGCAGACGCCACCTCCCGGTGTCCCCCGCATCTGCGACCCTCCTGTCTTCACCGGAGCGGATGGCAACGACGTCGAGGACTGGCTGGCCATGCACGAACGCGTGAGCGTCCCCAACCATTGGGACGAGGCAGGTAAACTCGGCAACCTGTTTTTCTATCTCGCGGGTGTGGCCGGCATGTGGTACAACAACCACGCATCTGATTTCCCGACATGGTCCGCTTTTAAAACTGCTGTCGTTGACGTGTTCGGCCGCCCGGCCGTTCGTAAGCTGCAAGCTGAACAGCGTTTACGTGAACGAGCCCAGCAGACCGGCGAGTCCTTCACAAGTTATATCGAGGACATCCTTGACTTGTGCAAGAAAGTCGACCTGAACATGTCAGAGGCTGACAAAATCACGCATGTTCTAAAAGGCATCGCCGACGATGCCTTCACCATGCTCCTGGCAAAGAACCCCCGCACTGTGGCAGAAGTCATCATGTTATGCCAAAGTTACGACGAGCTGCGGCGGCAGCGCTTGATGACCCGTCGCCCGCCACCACGTGATGCTGATCTCTCGGCCTTGTCAGCAGTTCCTGACCACGCAACCTTGCTCGCCGAAATCAAGTCGTTCGTGCGTGAGGAAGTTGCCCGCCAGGTCTCTCTACTGGCTTTTGCTTCCCCACAACATGCTCAACAGCCATCAAGTACACTTCTACCTCCGCTCCGTCGAGCCATTCAGCAGGAAATCGCGGAGGTCGTCCCTGAATACCACCAGCCGCCTCCTGCATCTGTGCCACTCAGCTACGCCCAAGTTGTTGCCAGGCCGCCCCCACCGATTTCTGTCACTGTTCCCCTACATTACACCGAAACCGTCGCGAGGCCCCAGGCCTTTGGAGAAACTGTCTCGCCTACATACGCCCGTGTCACCCACGTGCCCCGAGTGCCGCCTACTATGCACTCATATCAGCAGCCGGCTCGCCAATCGCATTCTGCGACATGGATGCGACCCGCAAACCAATGGCGCACTGCTGACAGTCGCCCCATCTGCTTTGCTTGTGGTTGCGTCGGTCATGTAGCACGCTATTGCAATCGTGTGCAGCAACTGCAGGTCGCCTCCAACTATCCCAGCCAGTCAAGCCGCTCTTATGACCAACCGCCGCCTATGTCACCGTCGTCCCGCCTTGTTCCGTCTACCCGCCGTTCACCATTTCCACGACGTCGCTCACTGTCGCCAATGCGGCCACGTCCACACGAGGGCGACCAGGAAAACTAGTCGTCGCAGTCCACGAGGCAAGGGCTGCGACGCTGTCGAACTGCGGAAGCCCCCAGGAAAGCCCGTCGAACGTGATAGACGTGCTTGTGGATAGCGTTCGTGCATCTGCCCTTGTAGATACTGGAGCCGCCGTATCCGTGATGGACGAAAAACTTAGCCGATTACTGCGCAAAGTGACCACGCCGCTTTGCGGGCTCTCCCTCCGTACAGCCAGCGCCCAAAGCATTCACCCTACAGCGATGTGCACAGCCCGCCTTATGATTCAGGACGTGATGTATGCGGTCGAATTCATCATAATTTTTTCATGCTCTCACGATGTCATCCTAGGATGGGATTTTCTCTCCCGCCACGACGCCGTCATTCATTGCGCACCAGCAGAAATAGAACTCGCGCCATTCTCTTCTTTGACGCCGGCCGACAGTCCATCCGCTGCAAGCAAGTTACTCGTCAGAGACGACACTCAAGTGCCTGCAAACTCGTCCGTTGCGGTGTTGCTCTACTGCGCAAGCCTTTCTGACACCGCTGCACTCCTCTCGCCATCTCATCATGTTTTCATAAGAAAAAGCTTGCTGGTTCCTTTCGCGACCGTGCAACTCACTCACGGCAGCACCACTATTTTTGTTGTGAACTCATCTCCGTACAGCGTTACGTTGGTGCGAGGAGAATGTCTCGGCAGCGTGGAACCCATCGAAGACGCGCAAGTTATGGATCAACCCGATGACATGCACTGCTCAAGTTCTTGTGCGCTTGGTGCTGTTTCGACATCTGCTTCATCATCCGATGATATATTCGGTCCCTGCATACCCGACGACCTTACGCAGGGCCAGCGTTCCCAGCTTTTGGGCCTGTTGGAAGAATTCCGCTCTTCTTTCGATGTCGCTCAACCTTCTCTCGACCGCACATCCACCGTTACGCATCGCATCGACACAGGCGCACAGCCACCGCTGCGGCAACGTCCATATCGCGTATCTCCCACAGAACGCCGTGTAATCAACGAGCAAGTCGACGACATGCTTCGCCGCGATGTTATTCGCCCCTCTAGCAGCCCCTGGGCATCTCCTGGCGTTCTCGTCACGAAGAAGGACGGTTCTGTGCGGTTCTGTGTGGACTACCGACGCCTCAACAAGATCACTCGTAAGAACGTGTATCCACTACCACGGGTAGATGACGCGATTGACAGCCTGCAAGGAGCAGAATTCTTTTCATCCCTCGATTTGCGCTCAGGGTACTGGCAAAAACCTATGGCTGAGGACGCTCGACCGAAGACCGCTTTTGTAACCCCCGACGGCTTGTACGAGTTCAACGTTATGCCATTTGGGCTGTGCAATGCGCCCGCCACCTTTGAGCGCATGATGGATACAGTTCTGCGTGACCTGAAATGACACACGTGCCTGTGCTACCTCGATGACGTCGTCGTTTTCGCTCCTGACTTCTCGACGCACCTTCAACGCCTTTGGCATGTTTTAACGCGTCTGAGCAACGCCAGTCTGCAACTGAACCTAAAGAAGTGCCAATTTGCAGCTCGGCAGCTGACAATACTCGGCTACGTCGTGTCCAAGGACGGAATTCTCCCTGATCCAGCCAAGCTTCGGGCCGTGACCGAGTTCCCCAAGCCGACATCCGTCAAGGAACTGCGCAGTTTCGTAGGACTGTGTTCCTACTTTCGGCACTTCATTCGAAACTTCGCGACTATCATATCGCCGCTGACGAAGCTTCTCGGAAGTAACGGGCCTCTCCATTCGTGGTCATCACAGTGTGACGATGCTTTCAGAACACTTCGTCGTTTGTTGAGGTCGCCTCCCATACTCCGCCACTACGACCCACTAGAAGGCGCTGAAGAGGACGACCCACTGTTCAAAGGCTTTACCACAATCTATAGATCTGTACGAAATTTTCAGTTCGCAGATTCAGATGTGCATATTCTAAAGATGTAATTACTTTTTGACCGGTCAAGAAGTTTCCAAGATACTCCACAATCCATGTAAAACCTGGGTCTTTAGTTCTTAGCCTAATTAGCATCTAAGCAGGAAGCACCAAAACGATGGTGACAGCATAGAAACAATGTACAGTGATGCCACCGAGGTCTTCTGATTTGGAGCAATTTTCGGAGCAGCAAAATTTTCTTTTTGAAGCACATTGGAGCAGCAAAATTTTTAATTTGAAGCACTTTGCAGCAGTAAAATTTTCTACTTTGGAGCAGTTTGGAGCAGCTAAATTTTCCAGTTTGGAGCAATCTGGAGCAGCTAACTTCAAATCCTGGAGGAGCAGCAAGTTGAATTTACATTCAAGGATATGAAAAATTATTTTGAGGCTCTTTTAAAAAGCTAGAAATACTTATATTCATTGCGAATTTCGTAGAGTCAATCATCTTATCAGAACTTCCTGCTTCAGTTGATGATGCCAAATAATGGCATCATGCTCCTGAGCATTCTGAAAAAACTTGAGCGATTATTTCCGTTGCAAATAAACAGTCGTTGATTAAAACTGTACTTCATGAAATAACAATATAAATACAGCTATGTGACTATCAGTAGATATGATAGACAAACGCTGTGACGTACAATGCAAGAGACTCACACATTCCCAAGTGCATTTCCCTAAGATGACTTCAAGAACAAAAAAGGTTCTTTTTCTTTACAACTGATTAGACTGCTGGGCGTAATATGACGTCATTCAGCTAGCCTCATAAAGCCAACCTCCTCCGGCACTTATCTCTGTGCTGAAACTACACGATTAAGCCAACTTTATTTTCTTTTTGCAGCAATATTTTATGTGGCTAGGGCGTTCTGTCTATACTCCAAAAACCCCCTACTATGTCCTGTAGAAAGCAGTGCATAAAAAAATGTCACAGGGTACCTTATGCATATGCCTAAGACAACTCGAAGGCAAGATTCATTTTGTTTTTAATGGGATAGCAATTATATGGACATTCTCAA